CACACACACACACACACACACACACACACACACACACACAAAAGAAACAATTATCTCCCAGTCATCTAGATCTCATAGAACGGTGGCACTTTGTGACTGAGCCTAAAGTAGAGGAGGCTTTGACTTCAGTCTTCAAGGGCTTCAGCATATCAGGCCTCAACTTTAGCTCTAGCACCACTGGTGCCACTCAAAAAGCCCACACTGTGTCATTCCCCAATAATATGTGATTTTCTTGCAGCCCACTGTTCTCCAGGTTCTGCCGCTTGCGTCTTATTTTCAAGTGGTATTCTCTTTCTGTTAACAGGCCCCTGCAACCTTCACAAGGCTGCTCCAGGACATACAAGGCTTTTGTTTTTGAAGTGGTTTTGGAGAATTGCCTTTCACAGCCTCCGCAGCATCCAAAACTGCACGAAAGCACACCCCATTCCTGCAGGATTTACATGGGCTCCAGAGGTCATGCAAGAACATGGCCTACTTCCTTGAGATCCAGAGGTTGCACAAGATCACAAGCCATCCACAGCCTCTGAAAATCACACAAGAATGGGATGTGCTTTAAAGTAATTGTTGCATAGTGGTGAATACTGGCATGTCACCCAAGATGTTGTAGCATGTTACCATTGACACACATCATATATTTCCCATCCCTCTGAAGCAGATTCCTTGCTTATCCTTTGCTACAAAAATATAAATTTGAATACTACCCAGAAAGTTGAAAAGTAAGAATATATAGCATGTTCTTTAAAGGTGTCTTTCTTTTGTTTTGAGATTAATATTTTTTGTCTCAGTAATCTGTATCAATTTTAGCAAATTTTGGAAATGCACACTCTGCTTATTGGCTAGTGATTTTGACTATCATTTGAATCTGAAATCTGTGAAATAAACCATATAATAAAATTGTTTGTTTTTTGTTTCTTTTTTTACCTTTATATTCTTGTCAGCTACTTTTTGAATTCTGTCAAATCAACAGGAAAAATGAAAGAAAAAGCACAATTGTTTCATTGGAATAATTTCCACTGCCAAAAAGTGAGAGGAATAATAATACATATACTCATACACATTGCTGCCACTCAGCCTGCCTTTCTTGTAATCTCTGAGGCTTAATTCATTCAAAAATCTTTTGTTCTGTCTCCTTATTTCTCAGATTTTGAAATTCTTGTCCTCTCAAAACCAAAGCATTTGTATTTTCATAGATATTTCATTTGTCTGTATTTGCTGTTTTCTAAATTGCCCGTCTGGCAAGGAAAAAAACAACAAATTGCATTTTATCTGTATAGTACAGTTTTTAAGGTTTGTTTGTTAAACTTAATGCTCAAGAGTTCATCTAAAGTAAGAGTTAAACTCCATTCTTTCGGATTTATTAGAGTTGTATATTGGTTAGTTAGTATTTAGCTGACATACCAAAATGTATCCAACTTAAGAAATTGCCCAGTCTGTTAGCTGTTACAAGTGTTTATTTCAAATTTGCAGTACCAATATCTTTTGTAATTGAATAAGCCCATTTACGGTCATAGAGGTTTTTCATAGCAAAACTTAGCTTATTGATTTTTTTGTCTTCTTTCCCAATTTGTTTATTTCTCTTTTTGTAAGTTTTTTATTTTTAAATAATCTGTTATATTGATCATAGAGTTTATTTCTTTGCTCCTATTTTTTAGCTTAAAAAATTCATAAGAACTCCAGAAATCCCTTCAAAGCATGTGAGGAACTGGGTGCCCAAAGTTTTGGAACAGCGTCGTCAGGGATTAGAATTTTATTTACAGGTAAGCTATTTTTAACAATGAACAGAGAAGAATCTTTTCTCCAAGCAATATCAGGAGTTTGAATGCCAGATGCTTTAAAATGTATTTTACAGTGATCATTGAAGTCTGCTGTTATTTTACACATAACCACTCTAGCAATATATTATTTGCTTCGTGTCTATCTAAAATATTTATATCTGAGCTTTGTACAACTGTACTGTACAACAACTGTTTTAAAGACAGTCCCAATTGCAAAGGATAAAGACATGGTTATTGCAAAGAGAAAAACTTGATTTAAATAAATAGCATTGATTCAGTTAATATCATTGTTCTACATTTATTTAATATTCTTTATCCACTGTAACATTAAAATTAAAATGTTCTGTTTAACATGTACACAAACTGGATGTGCTAAGAGAAATATTACAGAAGGGAAAGCATTATTCTAGTTTATATTTCTTGCTGCTTTCTGTTTTGGGATGGTAGTTATCTCAGAGTTTCTGTGATTTTTACAATCTCAGTTTGCTTGTATTCTAAAAACTTGGACAGAGCATACAAAGGATCCAAGAACTTCTCTGCAGTTGTAGTAAACAATGAAAAGTCACTAGTATCTAGGAAAGCAAATGACAGTGTGTATATCATGTTATGTGCATGTGTCTAATGTTCTTGTGTTGACTGTCCTTTATGAAGGGACATTAAGTTGCCAGTCTGACATCATTGTGGTCTGCTCCAGGTACATGGAATGGAGGAAAGAATCAGCTAGTCCATTTCTGATGTCTTATTTTTATTCATGAGGTCCAAAAGTAAATGTTTCAGCAACACAATATTTTAAGAATTCTTTGAAAGGTCCTTGAGGTCTACCTCTTTATTTCTTTGTTTTTGAACTTTATGTGAAGGTGCTTCCTTTGGGGGTGGGGGGGGGGTGAGAAGATGTCTTAGATACTTGCCATGCTCTTAAAATTCTTCACTAAAGCCTTTTTCTGTGGAAAGTGCTTTGATATAAACTGTTTAAAAATGTGGCCCTGTATTAATCTTTACTTTTAGCCTGTCATGTAAGACAATGTACTGTAGTTTCCGTTGAGTTTTATAAAGTATCAGTATCTGTTTATGCCTAACCCACTGAAAGCATTCATTGTTAAGCTAATTATAAACATTTTTGAATAAAATCTAAAAATGAGTGTATTACACTTATAGATTTAATTAGGGTATCTGTTTTTATTGGTTTTCAGAACTTTATTTGCATTGAATACGAACCACAGCTTTCTTCTGGGAAAAACTTTATTAGAGTTGAATATTTCCAGGACTGAAAGAAGAAATCTCCCCCTTCTCCCTACTACTTCCTTTATCTTCCTAAACCTTCTTTGATAGTCATGGTAACCTTGTGGGACAGTGGAAGAAATAGTGGTAGACCTTGCAAGCTGAAAAAGAAATGTGTGAAAATGGTCCTGTCTATTAGTGAAAGTGTTATGAGAGAAAAATCTGTTCAAGTTATGGGTGGTACTGGAATTAAAAGGAAATACTTGATGAAGCCCAGCAAGAATTAATATAATGTCAGATTTTTTATGATAATGAATCCATGTAATAATTTTAAAATAGGAATCTGATTTTCCTCTCCTAATGCTTTGAAATCAGTACTGAAATGTATTTTTGAGTAGGAAAAAGCTAACCATTTTAGTCATGATACAGTACAATTCTTTCAAAAGTTTGAAAAAAACCATTTTGGTTGTAACACAGTTAAAAGTAATTATACAGCTGAAAATGTAAACAAAATGGCTTAGAGGTTTAAACTATAAACATGTTTATATGTTTACATGTACATAGTAAAAATATGTTTTTATTACATCATACAAGAGGTTGGAGACTAGGAAAGATAATGTTTATAGAACAAAATAATATATTGTTAACAATAGCTGTAGATTTGTGTTTTTAAATTGTATCTAGATTCTCTCAACATAATAAATACTAACAAAATTCAGTTAGCAAAAACATCTCACAATTATTATTTTCTGTCCTTAGCAAAATAATGGGCAGTTAGCAAAAAAAATATATGTTATAAAAGTTATTTCCTTGAATAAAAAAATGTTTTTGATTAGCTTTTAGAAAATGGCTCTCCAAAGGCAATTCTGTGTTCCAGGTCAGCAGTATAAAAAGAAAGTATACTAGGTTTAATTGAGATGGTGACAAATATTAATTGTCTACTGGCATTTTGAAATCCTGTTTCTTACTAAAAGAATTTGATTTTCAAATACATATGGAAACCAGAATATTGAGGTTTAAATCTATCATATTTTAGGAGAAAACACTTCATTACCCTTTTTATAGGAACAAGAAGTCTATAGTGGATGGAAAGAGAAATAAATTAAAGAAAAATTAATTCTTCCACCATCTTCCCAATCTTAACAACACAGTTGGTAAAGCAAAACTTAAAATACAGTGAAGAGTTGTCTGTTGGCATCAGAATGGTGCATATCGGCTACATGTTGCAGATTCATATCTTAGAAAGCTACTCGGTTAGCTTTCTAGTTTAGCACTGTTTTGGATAAATAGGAAAATTCACAATACCCATCTTTTCACGTGTTCAATATTTATTCAAGAATTTGCTTATTCCTGGAGGAAAAAAATCCCATCAGTCATAGTCAGTGCTTCAAGGGTCTGAAGAAAGCTTTTATATGAATCCTGTTTAGACTGATTTACCTAAATAAAATGAGCTATTCGGAAATTATCTTCCTCAGTTTAAGAGAAGGAGTTGTAATTCATTCATAGACACCTCATTTCTATAATTCCCAATGATTTTGCATAGTTATTAATACATATGTTTTCTAACTTAATGAAATTCCCTATATATTTTTATCACCCATAAATATTGTAGTCATAAACTTTGCTGTGTCACCAAACCTAGATCTTAGGAATATACTGTTTCAACAGACAATATAGTAGCTTTTCTCAACCTAATATTTTACAAGTGCTTAAGACTTCTGGTAAAAGCTTCTGGGTTTTTTTTATTTGTTGTATTAGGAAATAAATATCTGGAAATGGGCTTTCTGATGGTGTAAACTATAGAAATTTACTTGGAATATATGCAAATATATTTCACTCCAGTTTTATCTTGTTTTTAAGAAAGCCACTGAAGACTTCTATTAATCACACAGAAAACTTAGCAGAAATTATTCAGTGTCCTTGTCCCTGTGAAACCCTAATTAGTTTTAAATGATCACTTTTGAGTTGTGTTTATACAGATTTCTGGAAAGAGCAGTATGATAAGTGTGAAGAACCAAAGTGTTCTTTATCCTCATTAAAGATTGTGAGAAGTGTGTTAAATAATATTAATGGCTAGGATTGTCAGTAGTTAACAGTACTTTCCTAGTACAAGTGATTTTATTGATCAATGCAGACTCAATGTAACAGGGCAGATTATTTTACTGATTTTATTGAAACCTTAACTAACTTTGTTAGTGCACTACATATCTTTAAATGGATCTAGATGATGATGAAGATTAAGAAAAGCAGAAGACCATCCATCTTTTTTGATCTGTTAATAACTTAAATCCATCATTGTTGGTAAGAACTGTTTTAAGATTCTGTGGAGTTGTGTGTGTGTGTGTGTGTGTGTGTGTGTGTAAATATCTCACGAAGGATATATAACACATCAACCCAGTTTTATTAAGTATTTATTTTAACTATCTGGCAACATATAGCAATGTTTTTTCAATAGGAGAAACAGTAAATTCTGCTAATAATAAACAATATCAATAATTTTCACTTAACTCTGAGCAGAATTCTTGCAGAATCAAACTCAAACCTTTATTTGTTTTAATTTTTTAAAATAGTCTTTAAAAACAACATACATATCACAAGCTGCCTAAGGTATTAAAGATTAAACAGTGGACTCTGCAACAAACATGGAGTGCTTCTGAGCTGTGGCAAAATGAAGAATACTTGAAAATGAGATAATGAACTACTTTTGCCTTAGACTTAGCATAGTTGGATGGTTTTTTTTTTTAGTTTGGGAATAAACTCGGCCTATGTTGGAAGTAAATAAGTTTTTTGCCACTAATCTATGTTTTAGAGATGGCTGGATGATATAGTCAATTAGCAACCAATTCTCAATACATTCACATTTTGATCTTTGCCTATAAGTGGGCAAGAGGGGAAATATTGCAATGTGTTGTGGACACAAACTCTACTGGAAATGCATGTTTCATCATTTTGTTGAATTTGTTTTACTTTCTTTGCTGCTAGCGCCTTCAGTCTTTTGTATTGTTTAAAGATTCTTCAGACAGAGGGAGTTTATTGTTTTGTCTATAAATCTTATTCAAATATTACCAGGTAGACCAAGAAAAAGACAAATGGGAAAAAATAGTGTTTTTTTCTTTTTTCTTCCCACCAATTCAAGTGAATGAAATTCAACAATTTATGACCAGCAGTGGGAAAATGTTTCCCACTTCTTAGGAGCCAAGGTGGCGCAGTGGTTAAATGCAGCACTGCAGACTACTTCAGGATCAGCAGGTCAGCGGTTCAAATCTCACCGGCTCACGATTGACTCAGCCTTCCATCCTTCCGAGGTGGGTAAAATGAGGACCCGGATTGTTGGGGGCAATATGCTGACTCTGTAAACTGCTTAGAGAGGGCTGGAAGCCCTATGAAGCGGTATATAAGTCAAACTGCTATTGCTATTGCTATCATGGCTATACAGGAACTCTTATTATAAACCTGAAATGTTCAAAGCAGGTTTTGATGGTGAGGGAGGGGGAGAGAGGGAAAGAAGGGAGGGAGGGAAAGAAAGAGGAGGGAAGAAGGGAGAAGTGGGAAACAGGGAAAGAAAGGGAAAAGGAAAGAAGAGGGGGGCAGGGGGGGGCAAGGAAGGAACGCCCCACCCAATAGGAAAATTCTGATTGGGGAAAGTTAGTCCTCAAGACAGAAGCACTAAAGCCCTATTCACACATCCAATTAAATCACTGGATGTTTGATCATTGCTTGCTGAACAAACCACAATGGGAGTGTGGCACAAACATCACAGTAAA